AGCTTTTTCACAGGATGAATCTGCTATAGTAGTTAACAATTGGTCAATCCCTGCAACTACCTTAATGCAATCACACTTTTTCCACACAAACATACAGTTAGTGTACAGTCTGTAGCATCTGTCCAAAGATTACTGCAACCATATCTCCCATTGCACAGGCTCTTCTTACAATGTGACCTTGCGAAGCTTCATTGAGGGCTGGGGTCTATGTTCTGTCCCCTTGAACCTGAGCAAATTTATAACTGAGGTGAAATAATACTATGTGACTTCTGAGGCTAGGTCATAAAAGGTAATAATACAGTTTACATCTGGTTCTCTTGGGATACTTCCTCCTGGAAGCCAACCATGTTGTGAGCAAGCCCAAGCATCCATGTGGAGAAGCCACATATAGGTTCTCAGGTGACAGCCCTGTTAAGGTTCTAGCTGATAGCCAGCATTAACCACCAGACATGGAGTGAATGAGACTTCAGATTATTTCAGGCCCCAGCCAACATCATTCTCAGTCTTTGAATCATCCCATCTGAGACTACAGATATCATGAAGCAGAGATAAGCCATCCCCACTGTGGTCTTTCTGAATTCCTGAACAACAGAAACCATACAAATAATAAAATAATGATTGTTATACACCACAGAGTTTGGGGTGGTTTATTACCCAGCAGTAGTAGCTGGGACAGGTTCCCTCCACTTGAAATGTTCTTTCTCTACTCTACTCCTGGACACTCTTACTCTTCCCTCCAGGAATAATTCCTTCTTCTGTGAGTATACTATGCAGGCACTTTGTACACACACCTCTACTTTGGCCTTACCACTTTCGCTGTTTACCTCCTCTGTCTCCCTTGCTACACAGTGAGCTCCTCAAGGACTGAGATGGGGTTTTTTTGGTTGTTTTTTATTGTTCATTAGGTAAAAGTTTACAAAGCAAATTAGATTCCCGTTCCACAATTTGTACATAAAGTGTTGTTCCATGGCCTTAGTTTCATTCTCCACAATGTGTCAGCACTCTCCCCATTTCCGCCCTGGGTTCCTCGTTTCCTTTTGTCTGGATTTTCTACCCCTTCCTGCCTTCTCATCTTTGCTTTTGGGCAAATATTACCCTTTTGCTCTCGTATAATTGATTGTTCTAAGGAGCACGTTTCTCTTGGGTGTTATTGTTTATTTTATGGGCTTGTCTATTGTTTGGCTGGAAGGTGGTCTCTGAGAATAGCTTCAGTACCAGGTCAGAAGGTTGTCTTAAGGCCATTGTCTTGGAGATTCCTCCAGTCTCTATCAGACCAGTAAGTCTGGTCTTCTTTGTGAATTTGATTTTTTATTCTCCATTTTTCTCTCTCTGTGTCCAGGACCCTCTGTCGTGATGCCAGTCAGAGCAGTCAGTAGTGGTAGCCGAGCATCATCTAGTTCTTCTGGTCTTGGGATCGTGTAGGCTGGTGTTCATGTAGACAAGACGGTTTTGTTTTGCTGTTTTGGAGTAGAAGCCAAACAGCAGAGTGATCTGGGAGTTTTGGAGCCAGACCAACTTAGTTTTGAATTTCAGCTCTGCTACTTATTAGCTAAGTAGGCAAGTTACTTACTGTCTGAGTTATCCCATATGTAATCACATACTTAAAATGGTGAATGTATCTATCATTACTGTCAGGAACAACCTTCACACTGTCTACTCAGAGCCAAGTGCCTGGCATATAAACTGCCAATACATAGAAGATACTATCATTATTCTTTTATTATCTTCTATATTTAGTACCAAAAAGAAAAAAAGAACTCTTCAGTGAGGGAACACTCTCAATGAGGTGGACTGACACAGCGGCTGCAACAGTGGGCTCAAACATAGCAATGATCGTGAGGATGGCACAAGACCAGGTGGTGTTTCGTTCTGTTGTACATAGGGTGGCTATGGGTGGGAACCGACTCAACAGCACCTAACAACAACCACAACATTTCATACAGTGCAATTTGAATTCTCAAAAAATTAGAAAAATGGAAAAAGGACAGGAAAAATTTAGTGAAAAGTCCAAACTCATTTTTAAAAACAATTTTTGATTTCAAATATAAGGCATGTCATAAACCAAGAGATAGCATAAATTAATATTAAAAAGCAAATTAAACAACGATGAAAAAATATCATTTTGCAGTAGGCCAAACATAGAGGACATGTTGCAAACATTATGAGAATGACTTGACGGGCCTAGATGCAGAAACACATAGAAAAGATATTTCCAATGAACCCTTGGTTTGAAAGCTACTCCTTCTATGGTGATTCTCTTTACCTGGACACAACTTGAGAAATTCAGAAGCGAAACTATTCCTAATGTTTTATTCAGTAAGAAACATGTTTATTATATCGGCTTTTTGGTCTGAATTAAAGGAGTAAGAATTTTAGAATTGTAGCACTAAAAAGAAATTGTGGAGATTATCTTTGTTCTGATGAGGAATTGAAGTCCCAGTGAGGCAAAGTGGTATTGGGGTCCCAGGGTCCAGGGCAGCCTCCCAAGGGCAACAGTAGAAATGGCAAGAAGACGGAGCTCAGTGCCTGAGCGCCCTGGACAAGCATGGGCTGGGACCCTTGAGAGCTGGGCCCTGTACTTGTCAATTAACAGCATACTGTAGTGACAAAATCTAGTATGATGAAACCTCAAAGACAATCAGGCAATCAGGAGACGTGTGCTGTGTGACAGTAGACGAATGACTTCTTGCTCTGATTCAGTTCAGCAGTGGTGCCAGCGGAGGGTTTCATTGACTCAAGGTCCCCATTCTGAACCAGGAGAGATTTGACACTAGGTGCAAAGGTTAGGCTGGAAGGCTGCTTCTTCAATACTCACAGACCACTGTATATGATATGTTTGCCAGTTTTCCTCGCTGACCTCAGAGGAACTCCAGGGCAATGGCGGCAACATATTTGTCATAGAGAACAAAGAAACGAAATGGCTAAGAACAGAAGCTCTCTGGTCACACTGCTGAGACTGAAGTCTAGCTGAGTGACTTTATTTAAGTTATATAATCTCTCTGTACCTGTTTTCTCAACTGTACAATGAACATAATTATAGTGTTATCACAGGGGTTTGTTATAAAGATTAAGTGAGAAAATATACTGAGAGTGAAAATGAATTCTGTTAGTAATCATACTGTAGTGTTTATAATTAACATCAACAGTTTTTCTGACAGACCATACCCAAGACCACGCACAGCTACAAATGATTTAACAATTCTTCCTTCTGAGTGATTGCTGCTTTCTTGCCAAAATCATTCCCAGTCCCACTTTGAATTTTTCCCACCTCCTGAAAAATGCTCTTGAGACGCCCAATTGCTGAACTGCCCTTGCTTCTTGATGGTATACAATCGGAAACAAGTCCCTTTTTCCTTGATGCGACCTTAAAAGCACCCAGCACAAGCCCAAATCCTATAACAAGCCCCTCCCAACTCACACTTACAGAAATGTTATCAGGTGTATGCTCTATCTTGCTGTAGCAAGCTAAATAAACCTAATTTTGTTCGAATTCAGATGTGCTTCTGGTAGTCTTTGGTTGGTGGGCTTCCACAATACTGAGCACATACTATACGCACAGGAAATGCTAGGTATTTCCAGTAGTAGTCAAGTCTTCTTATCCCCAGCTTCTTGCACGTAGCACATGACATATTTGTTCAGTGAAGTGTTGCTCTCATGTAACTGGGGAGCCAGGCACCATGGCTAGGATGAAGAGATGTAATTTTTTCCTCCAAGGCCCAAAGTATTATTGAGAAGTGTCCATGGTAACTGCAAGAGCAAGGGTAGAGTAGAGGGCAAACAAGCAAATCTTTGGTGCCTACTGAAGTCCAAGTAGTAGCCAGAAATTGCTCTGACCATTGCTTGGAGCTTTTAAGTTATGCTAGCCAGATCTCAAAAAGAAGAGTCTGAAATAGCTAAACTTTCAAGTGTTCATTTCAGAAAGTCTACAAACACCCATTTGACAAATAAGAAAATGGATTTTCAACATACATGGTGATATGGCTGGGTGTATTATCTATTGCTTTATCACAAATCATCCTAAAACTCAGTGACTCAAAACATTAATTATTTATTCTCTATGGCAGTTTCTTTGGGTCAGGAACCCATGAGCTGCTTGGCTGCCCGGTTCTGGCTCAGGGTCTCTCATGAGTTGCAGTCACCTGGGGATGGAGGATCCACTTCCTAAGTGCCCCACCCACATGGCTGGCACTTGATTCCTCTCCATATGGGCCTCTCTACAAGAATGTTTGAGTGTCTGCACGACATGGCAGCTAGCTTTCCCATAGGAAGCAATTCAAGAAACCATGATAGAAGTGGCAATACGTTTTACGTTTTATGACCTACTCCTGGCAGTTACACATCATCACTTTGACCATAGTCTATTGATCACACGGGCCAGGCCTGTTTCAGCGAGAGAAGGAACTACACGAGGGTGTGAATAGCAGGAGGCAAGGATCATTAGAGATCATATTGGATGCTGGCAACCAAAGGAGAGGACAGCTGTTCCTCTGAAGTTTTTACAAACTCACGAACTGTCTCTTTCAAGGAAATGTGGTGTGCTGCCCTTACTCAGGCTGGTTCAAATTTTAGCTCCGCTCATCTGCCAGGTGTGTGATCTTGGACAAGCACCTAAATTCTCAACGTGTGTTCTGTAGTTTATAAAATAAAAATAACAACTTCCTTTCAGGACTGTTGTGAAGGTCAACCAATACATAAAACTATTACACTTTGCTTAGCCCAACGGCCTGCCCCACAGTGGGCAGTATTTAGAAATTATTTCCCTTCCCTTCGCTTTCTCAAACGACGTCTCGATTTCGCCTCATTTCCTTGAACGTCCCTTTTCTTCAACCCGAGAGAAGTCTGCCTCTACCCTCGCAACGCCCACTAGGCCATTCCTAGGGTGGAACTCTAGTTCCGGGATTTGGGTGCCGGGAGCGCATTGTGCGATGGACCGGAAGTGGCTTCGGCGGTTGTCTTTCCGTCGCTGAGGGAGTCCGCGAACAAGCAGCGCGACGGTTTCCCGAAGGCTGCTGCGGGACGCGTAGCAGGGCGTGGGGACGACCTGAGAGCAGAGCGGCGGGGCGCCCGGAGGTGTCGTATGCGGAGTCCTCCCCGGCCACGCCATGCCGAGCTGGAGGCTGCTGGCTCAGGCCGGTGCCCAGGTGCTGGGCCGCGGTGCAGGCGTCCTAGGTGCAGCCCCGGGCTCGGGGAACAGGTGGGTGTAGGGCAGAGATGGGTTTTCGGGCCTGGCTAGACGCGGAGGTGCCTGACCTGGGTAGAGGAGAAAAAGGGGCTTTGGCCAGACCTATGGCAGTTTTTTTTCTTCTCACTCCTAATGCTATAAGCCAGTGACTGCCAGCGAACATTACCAACAACAATAATATTATTACCTTCCAATTAGCGTTTTCTATGTTCTAGACGGCCTGATAAGTGTATTAGGCGCCTTATCTCGCGTAGCCCTCACGTGCGCGAACTATCATGACCCATTTTACAGACACTATCACTGTTCCCTGGTGGCGCAGTGGCTAAGAGCTCAGGCTGCTAACCTTTAAAAAGATGGACAGTTCGAACCCACCAGCTGCTCCTTGGAAACCCTGTGAGGCAGTTCTGCTCTGCCCTATAGGGTCGCTATGATTCAGAATCGATTCGACGGCAACGGATTTTTATTAGTCCATACTATCATTATTACGTTTTGTAGATAAGAAAACTACGACATAGGGGAAGTAACTTGCCCAAGGTCACTTAACTAATAAATGGAAAATTGGGACTCCAGCCTGGATCACAGACTGCAGGAAGCTTTACTTCTATTGTGACGCTGGGTGCAAGAATTGCATACCTCCTTCCCGAGCTCCACCTCCTGAGGGCTTTCTTAGTGTCTTTAACTGGTCACAATTGGATGCTAAGAGGTAGAGGTTATTTCTTTTGTGGATATTTTGACTTGGCGCAACCAATTTTTTCACCTCTCTGGGCCTAGTCTTTGTCATTGCAGAAAGGAGGTTCTGCCACCGCCACTGGAAATCAAACTATTAAAGCACACATTCTGAGGAGTTAGTGGTTTCTCATGTATCTAGGTAGGAATCTGTTTAACCCAGAGGACAAGATGAAGACCTTTTCTTCCAGGATGACCATAAAGAGTTCAAATGTGAGCATCAGCATTATTACAACGAATGTTAGGGAGAAAAAACTTGGACCTAATCCAAACCCTTTCCTAAGGCCCTGACCATACTTTCCAGCTCATGTGACCTCTCTTCCCTACATTAAATAGGGGAGCTTTCTGAGTTGTATTTTCTTTTTTTTTTAAACAGAACAAACATATGGCTTTTTGTTAGAAGTCTCAATGGCAAGAGTTGCACTTGGTGGGATGAGCATCTTTCTGAAGAAAATGTCCCATTCGTTAAGCAGTTGGTCTCTGATGAGAATAAAGCTCAATTAGCAAGTAAACTGTGTCCTCTGAAAGATGAACCATGGCCTGTATATCCTTGGGAACCAGGTGATTATTTTGTGTTTGATGAGTTTTCACTACCTAATTATTGGTGGTTGGGCACATTCAAAATCTTATGGGGAATGCTGAGTAAATTTATCATTTCTTGAAGCTATTTCTCATGTCTAAGTATACCTGTCTCATTGTGGTTAGGTTTGCAAGTTCATTTCCAGCCCCCTACTCTACTGTTAGTGAATGGCTAACAATAATATAAAGACGTCTTCGAGAAGCCATTTTGTAGGTGGAAAGAGAATCCCGCATATATTCTCTGCTTCCTTGAGACAAAGAATATGAAATAAATAAAGGAAGAAAGACTGGAAGAATCTGATCTAAATTGTAATTTGTTGAGCAGGTGTTTTTGTTGGGATGTTCTGGCACTCCAGGTTTGCCAAGCATAACGCCAGAAGCAGCTTTGTGCCTAGTGAGTTGCTAAACTAATGTGTGGCCAGACCAAAAACAATAAGACTACTCCTGTTCAGCAGGCAGCCTCTGAATTAGGTTTATAGTGACAGTTGGATTGTATAGTGGCCAAAAACCTTAGTGGAGCAACTTTACCAATTTATACAATAAATCCAAGTGTCAGGTGAAGGTTGATGTATTTTAGCAACATGACCACTTGTGGCATTCTTGTAGCTCCAGCTAATGTCTTAGAATTTGAGTGGTAAATGTTTTCCAATTAATGAGTTGGATATGAATTGATACTAGGAAAGCATAGTGATGTATTTATCATGTCCTCTTAATATTTTAAAACTGGAATATAGCCATTAATGAATAATTTCTTTTATAAGAATTAGCACAAAGCTGGTTCCTGTGAGGCAGAGGTTAAAGATGTCCCAAATGTCTAACTTTTCCAAGCTGCTGTACCACTCCATCATCTCTAACATCAATTAACTCCCTCTCGCCTCAGTATGCTCCCTCCTGTCTTTGGGTTCCCAAATTTCTTGCAACGTCTCACAGAACTCATGGACCATATAAAGGAAGTGGCTCATGAGGTTTTGGAGGCTGACAAGTCCCAAATTCGTGGGTCAGACATAGACTTCTCTCTGGCCCTTAGTCTCTGCCCAGAGACACTCAGCTTTCTCGCCCCATGGCCATCTCCTGCGGAACTCTTCTTTGGTAATGGTGGGCTCTCCTCTTTGCTCTGGAATTGGCGCTCTTTTAAGTCAAAACTGACCAATTCCGTTAGTAGGCCACAATTACCCTATCACACAATCACCTGGGTGGGAGTTACAAGACCATGGCTATAAAGGCCACACACAAAGTAATTAATCCACTGTAAACTGTCTGTTTTCTTTATGTGTAGTTTTCTTATAGTTGCTCATTTGGCAGATATTTACTGAATACCAATATATTATGCTAGGCATGGTTTAAGGCACTTATCACCTGAAAGGAACAGTTGTGTTTTACTGGTATATTAGCATGTTTCTTAATCTGTCTGCTGTTGTATTGAAACCACATTTTAGGAAAGACTTGTGTCATGTTGGGAAGTGTTGAAGAAGCTTGTGCTAACACATATTTGGTTTTAATTGTCAGGTTCTTCTAGAGTTGGCCTTATTGCAGTGAAGCTGGGCATGATGCCCTTGTGGACCAAGGATGGTAAACAGCATGTGGTCACGTTACTTCAGGTAAGAAAGAAACAGAAGATGTAAAGGGAGCTGTATGTGTGCCACAAGCTAGTTATGCAAAGTAAACCTGAATGGGTAATGTCTGTATCCTAAAACATACATATAACTCTATGGTAAAAGATAGGGTAATGTCGAGCATAAGTAATATTAAAAAATTTTACTTGCTGGTTTCAGTGAATGCTCTGACTCTTAGTGGTGGCCATCCTGATCCTGGTATTGAGGTGATTGAGCACTGAAGAAAAGAGATTATAACCTAGCTTCTTGTAGATCCACCAGTTTAATTCCTAATTTTTTTAAAAAAAAAAAAATCTGTTCCATATTATTTTCATTTATGGAGTTCTTTCAAGTCCAAATGATAAGTTTGATCTCTTTGCTAACTATCAGAATATAACACTGTCTTGTCGGGAGAGGCAGCATTTTATTTACTGAGGTGAGGTATACTTTTAACGGTTAGGATTCTGGGCTCTGGGACCAGAATATTTGAGTTCGGATCCTAGTTCTGGCTGTGTCATTTGGAGCACTGTCCCTCATTTATAAAATAGTAATTATGAGCTCTAAAAAGATTATTGTGAGGATTGCACAAGATAATTAACGTCAGACGTGTAAAACAACGGTAAATTTCCAATAGATGTTATCTACTGTTGTCTTTATCATTATTATAGAAAGATCACTGATAAAGTTCAGAGATCATCACTCCCCAAATCACTTTGGACAGCTTGTTAATATTTGGGACCTGGTCTTCATGTGCCCATTAGACAGGTGATGATGATTAAAATGAGAGCTTATGCACTTAAGTGCTTAAAGTGCCAATAGGCACAGAGGGCCTACACGCCCTTAGTAATTTTTTTTTTTTTTTTTACTCTGAATGATCAAGTATAAGACTATTGTTACAAGAACTCTAAGTAACTTTGGGAGCTTTCAGGAAGGACTGGTGGAATTGTAAATTGGGACAACCACTTCAGAAAATGTTTACTGTTATCTGGTAAAGTTGATAAAGGTGGACCCTGTAGACTAGTAGTTCCACTCCTGAGTATTATTAGAGAAACTTGAACGGGTGTACACCAGGATATATGTATAACAACGTTTAGAGCTGCATCACTCTTAACACCTCAAGATTGGAAATAACCCAAATGTCAATTACAGTAGAATGGGAAAATAAATGGTGGGATATTCACATAATGGAATACTGTACAGCAATGAAGATGAACAGACTAGACCTATGCACAACAGTATGGATGAACCTTACAGATATAATGTTGAGTGAAAGAAGTAAGACATAGGAGAGTACATACAGTCTTATTCCATTTATGTCAAGTTCAAATCAGGCAACACTAACCTACATTATTAAGCAATACTTTCCAAGGTAGGTAATTGTGAAAAAAGGTAAGTAAATAATTACCAATAGATGTCAAGAGTAGTGGTTATCTTTAGGGCAGTAGTTCTCTAACTGGTGAGCATCAGAACCACCCGGAGGGCTTGTAAAACACAGATCCTGATTCATTAGATATGGGTTGGGGCCCTAGAATCTGCATTTTTACCAAATTTGCGGTTGAAGCTGACGTTGCTTGTCCAGGAGTACACTCTGAAACCACTGCTGTAGGGCGAAGAGGAGATGGATTGGGATGAGATCCAAAGAGGCTTCTGGGATTCTACTTGACCTGAGTGGTGGTTACATGTTTATTTTCTTCATAAGTATTTATTTTATTATATATTTATGTTGTATGCATTTTTCTGTATGTGTTGTATTTGACCATTTTTATAAAGGTTGATTTTTATATTTTAAGATGGTGGCTGATAAATAATGAGATAAATAACTTCAGGAAATTCTTAATTGTCCTAAGGCCTCAATGTGGTTGGTGTGTAATGTTAAAATGTATCTTGCACATACTTAGTTTTTTATGTTTTTTTAGGTACAAGACTGTCATGTCCTAAAATATACTCCAAAGGAAGACCATAATGGAAAAATGGCAGCCCTAACTGTAGGAGGAAAAACTGTGTCACGTTTTCATGTAAGGATGTATTTTCATTCCCGGAATAGTATATTTCATTGCTTTCTAATCTGAATCCTTGTTTATGTTTTGAGACTGTTCCATAATCACAAATTTGTTTTTGTCCTTGAGGTAAGTTATGCATGTTGGAAGAGGCAGTTTAGCAGGACCATTGAGCCCAGGAATCCAGGTGACTTTGAATTTGTTCTAGCACCACCCCTAACTATCTGGAACAAGTAGCTTCGCCTTTCTAAGCTGCAGTGTTTACCTTCTTAGTTGCCTAGTGTTGCTGTAACAGAAATACCACAAGTGAATTGCTTTAACAAAGAGAAATTTATTCTCACACTGTCTAGGAGGCTAGAAGTCCAAATTCAGGGTGCCAGCTCCAGGGGAAGGGTTTCTCTCTGTGGGCTCTTGGGGAAGGTCCTTGTCATCAGTCTTCCCCGGTGAAGAAGCTTCTCAGCGCAGGGACCCCAGGGCCAAAGGACACGCTGTTCTCCTGGCTCTTGTTTCTTGGTGGTATGAGGTCCCCCTGTCTCTCTGCTCACTTCGGTCTTTTATATCTCAGAAGCGATTCACTCAAGATACAACCTAATCTTGTAGATTGAGTTCTGCCTCATTGATATAACTGTCTCCAATCCTGCCTCATTAACATCATAGAGGTAGGATTTACAACACATAGGAAAGTCACATCAGATGACAAAATGGTGGACAGTCACACAACACTGGGAATCGTGGCCTATCCAAGTTGACAGATACTTTTGGGGGACACAGTTCAATCCATAACATTGCCCATCTGTAAAATGGGGATAAAATGAACACTTTTATAATAGGTTTGTTTTGAAGATTAAATGAAATGTACCTGGCTTGTAGGAGACACTCAATAGATGGCAGCTGTTGGTTATTTTCTTGTTGCTTAATGTTTAAGTTCACTTGCTTCCTAAGGAAAATTGTCTCAATACTTAACACCAAAAAGTGTATGTAAATCCAAATCAGATTTTTTTTTTTAAATAAAGCATTTTTTTTGAAGTAAAATACTCAACAGAATGCTGGGTTTTTAGTTTAAATTTTTTAAATCTGCATGATTGGTATCCTTTATTGATGACTAAATCCCTCAGTGGCACACGTGGTTAACATGCTTGGCTGCTAGAGGTGCCTCAGAAGAAAGGCCTGGCAGTCTACATCTGAAAAATCAGCCATTGAAAACCCTACGGATCACAGTTCTACTCTGACATACATGGGGTCACCATGAGTAGGAGTTGACTCAACAGCAACTGTTTTGTTTTTGTTTTTTTGGTATTGATGACTAAAATCAAAGAAAACCTTTCTAAAATGCTGATCATTTTCACTAATGGGCAATGAAACATCTTTAGGTTTACTAGAACCTATTGCTTTTCTCTAAGATAAACACTTTTTTTCATTGCAGATTATTTATGAAATGAACAGTGGTTGGAAATTAGGATATAGCCCGTGTCCAACTATCAAAACTAGTCTTTGAATTGTTCAGCGTGTTTATTGTATGCCTGTTTCTTCATTAGAGTTGACTTTTATTGAGCACTTACTACATGCTGGGCACATGAGCTTTTTATATGACTGTCTCAGTCTGAGGTTTAAAGAGGTTTTAGTAACTGACTCAGGGCCACCCTTTTACCACTGGTAAAAGATAAAGTGACAGTCAGACTCCGGAACCTTACTCTCAACTGTTTTGATGTCCATCTTATAGGAACTCATAGATGAGTGGGAAAGATGGGCAAATAAATCAGCCATCCCAATACAGTGTTATAAATGCAGTAGGAGCACAGAAGTGGGGATGGCCAGCTCTGCTTGGGGAAATTCCAGAGGCTTCACAAGGAGGAGGCCAGAAAGAAGAATGGGTGTTAAAAGCATGTGGAGGAGTGTGCGTGCTTGGGAATAGAAATATGATGGCTGGATTCAAGTGTGCAGTTGTGGGGCCACTAGGGAAGGTGGTAAAGGTGAAGCTGTCAGGTTAGAGCGTGAAGAGCTTTTATACCATAGTAAGGAGTTTGGACTTCATCTGGTAGACTCCAAGGAGCTTTCTGAATTCTTTAACCAGGGCAGTACTGGGGTCAAGTTGTTATTTTGGTTAACCAAAATTAGAAGAAGCCAGATGCAGGGAGCGCATTTAGGAGATGGTTAAAAGCAGCTAGGGGGGAATTGATAGAAGGCTTCTGAACCAAGGCGGTTGCATTGGGATTGGAAGTGGGGGGACACATAAAGTGCTTGGTGGATGTGTTGTGAGAGGACACAGACATAGAGCGGTTTAACTAAGCATCTGGGTCCATGCTGATGCTTTAACCTGGCATTAGGACAAAGAAAGGGAAGTTTTGCAGGAAGGTTGTGTTTGAGGTGGAATTATCCGCTAAATAGTGGAAATATTGATGTGGGAGGCATCGATGAATAGAGGGTAGTTGAAACCATTGGTGTCCTTTTAAACTGACATGTTTTGTAAGTGTTAGAGAAGTTTGCTATTTTTTTGCATGTTAATTTATATAATTAAAGCTTTATAGAAATATGTGTCCTGCTATTCTGGATGGTTTATTAATTATAAGTTTAGGCTTCAAATAATTATACAGCAATTAAAAGTACAGTGAGATACTTACAAAATCTTTTTTCAGATGTCAAATGTTTGAATTTTTTAAAATATATGACAGCTTTCCTTTGGTTTGATAAACACCACTGTTTTGTAACTGATTGCACTTCTGTATTTTTGCAATGATTAGTACTGTCTTTATTTTCATGACCAGTTTTCAGATTCATGACTTTATGACCTTCATATTTGTAAATCAAGTACCATGTTAGGATAATCCATTTGGCTCCAACAGATCTATGAACATTAGTTCCTCAGAAATAAAAGATAGTGGGGGATAAAAGTGGATGTGAGGTCAGAAGAGCTGAATTCTAATCCTGATTTCTACTGTTAGCTGCTCTTCCCTCCACTTATTTGGACATCTATTTCCTTATCTGTAAAAACAAAGAATGGAACTTGATGGTTTGTAAATTCTCTGCCAGTCCCAAAAGTCTCACATTGGTTCTCTGAATATTTTAGTTCTGGGGAAAAAAAGGGTAAAAGAATGTACTTGGGAGCTCATTTTAATTTAGTCCATTTTACTTAGTGATAAAGATGTGTTATAGATAAAATTTCATGAACATAATGCTATTAATAATTAACATAATACTAATAATTAAAATATTATAGAAATGAAACTGCTTTAAACCTTGAGACTGTAGTCTGCATATTTTGAGCTTTGTTGTCTTAAATGAATATACAGCACAGCAGTGTGATTTGGGTGCTATGTTCCTATGTTGTGCTGGATTTTGACCCACTTACATAAACTTTCAAAAACTGTTCGCTTGTCTAGCACAGAAAACACTCCAAAGGACTTTCTTAGATGACTTCTTCAAGATATAAATTTTCTAGGTCCAAAAGGACGTGTATTACAATACTGGTTTTTTTTTTCTTAATCTGTTCAGAATTTATGCTTCCCAGAAAGACTACTTTGCTTTTGCTATTTTTGTAGCTTATAAACAAAAACTAACGTGGTACAAGCTATTTTTGAATAAGGAAGTTAAATGGCCTTAAAAGTTGATCAAATCAATTCATCTTGGGAGCAGAGAAGCATTTTCATTGTGAAAAGGATAATTGCAGACAACTTTGAAGAGGGAAAAAAATGCAACTTCACAGATGGGATTATCCAAGTGTGACACTGCTGTCAGTCTTTTAAATTGCCTTTTGAAATAATTTATGTGGAAGTTTAAAAAAAAGAAAAACACTTCTGTTACACTGTTGCTTCCAGCTCATCTTGAGCACTTGGTTTTTCTCATAACTGGTACCTAATTTTATAACATTTTGATTTTAAAAGAAAAAATTAAGGCATTCAGCTTTAGTGAGATTGGAAGATAATCAAGAATTGTGTGTTACCTTGGTTCTGTTTGTTTCTCAGACTGTAGTTAACTTACGTCAAGATTCATCTTGTCTCTTACGTTACTAGAAAAGTAAAATATTTTTCTCAGAAGCCTTTGGCATACTTAAAAACTGATACAAACATAATATTAGCTTTTTTTTAAATCATCAGGCGGAATATGTGAATGCCAAAAATAAAATGGAAGTCTGTTCTAGAATTTAATAAATCAATTTGATACATACATCAGGAAAGTAATTTCAAAGATATACACTTTAAAATGAAAACTTTTGTGGTTGCTTTTGTTATAGAAGTGATTGTGACTGAAGATGAAAAGTAGGGGCCTTGCTAAGAGGGATGTCAAGTATTAGTCTTCAATTTTAGTGTGTGGGAAATGAAGTCAGAATGACTTGAGTGAATTTATTTTATCACTCTTTTGAAGGAAAGGATTGTTTCTTGAGGGAACTCTCTAAGGAACAAAACAATCTCTGGTGGGCATCCAAAGCAGAACTTCTCAACATTTGTTGCACAGCTCTGCCAGAGAGCCCCAGAGAGATCCCCAATGGAGTTAACCTTAGTTCTGTGCTTATAGGCTAATGCCATCCTATTTCATGTTGATTAAAGGCAACTTGAAGTCTCTGGGTGGTGCAGTTAATGCACTTGGCGCATTGGAAGTTCAAGTCCACCCAGAGGTGCCTCAGAAGAAAGGCCTGGCAATCTACTTCTGAAAAGTTAGCTATTGAAAACCCTATAGAGTGCAGTTCTATTCTGACACACATGGAGTTGCCATGAGACAGACAATCAGATCAACTCAAGGGCTAGTGTTTGTTTTTTTTAAAGCAACTTACTAAGTAAGTTATAAAGGGAGACTAACATTTCACATTTTAAACTGAAGTTAGCAAGTAACTGAAGTTTGCTGAATCTTCAAACATTGTATTCTGCAATAAATCTGGCTGTGCAGACACGTCATTAGAATTTGAGGAAAGAATGCTTTGTCATCAGCACATCATCTGTGTCATTGAGTTGGTCAGGATTTATCAGTTGCTGCTGTTCTTGCTTTTTTGATTACAAATTATGGTTTGGTTTATGATAATCAGTTTAGTTTCTTGTAGATTGCTGTTCCTCCTCACAGTGAGTACTGATGTGTATTTTAGACCTATAATTTTACAATAACTAGACTTGAAGACAGAGGTCACCAACTGTCAGGCTGCAAACATAGTATTTTTGTGTGTTGAGAACTACTGCAGCAGCAGTAACAGTGGAAAGAAGAGATAGGTGAAGCAGGTGTTTGATGTATTCTTGGATTTGTAAGGAGTGCATTGTAACTGAAGCACGGTGAGCCAGGGGAGAATAGTAGATGATCTAATTGTGTAGAACCTCGTAGACCATGGGAAACACTTAGGGATGCAATCCTGCACAAAATGGAAGCCATTATAGTAATGTGATATAGCTCGAGTTTTAAAAAGCTCATTGTCTTTGAATGAAGAACAGACCAGGGGGTCGGGCGTGTGGAAGCTTGGAGGCTATTGAAATTATCCAGGCAGAAGATGGTGATTTGGCTTTGGGGTGGGGTGATGAGAAATGGTTGATGTGGCTGTATTTTTAAGTAGAGCTTAAAGGAATTGCTGATGGGTTGGACATGGAATGTGAGAAAGAGAAGAGTCAAGGGTGACTACAAGATTTTTGACCAACCCATTGTTGTCAAGTCAATTCCGACTCATAGCAACACTACAGCACAGAGTACTACTGCCCCATAAGGTTTCCTAGACTGAAATCTTTACAGAAGCAGACTGCCACATCTTAGTCCCTCGGAGCAGCTGGTGGGTTTGAACTGCCAACCTTCTCGGTTGGCAGCTAAGCACTTAACCGCTACACCACCAATGCTCCTTGATTTTTGGCCCAAATGAGGAATTATGGAGTTGCCATTTATTGATATTTGGAAGACCAGAGGAGAGCAGATATGGGGGAAGCCTAGTTCAGTTTTAGGCATGTTAAGCTTGAGTTGCTGTATGTTGTTGAAGTGGAAATAATGAGTTGGCAGTTGGCTGTACGAATTTGTAATTCGAGTAGAATGCAGGATTGAAGTTAGAAATGTGGGGTCATCAGTATATACAAGAACAGAGAGAGTAATGACTGGGAGCCAAGTGAAAGTTTCAAGAAAAAAGTGGTCACCGGTGTCAAACATTGCTGATAGATCCAGTAAAATGAGTATTGACTGTGTATTTGACCTTGTGGAGATGGTGGGTGACCTTGACATGCACTTGCCATGGAGTATCAGGCACTCAAAATGCCTGATTAAAGTGGATTTGAAAGACTGGGAGAAGAAGTAGATGAAGCAAGTCTTTCAGGGAGAAGGTATACCTGTCCCACCTCTTGGGGAGTTTGCTGTAAGGGGAAAAAAACAAAAAATAGTTGAAGAAGGATATGTGATCAGAGAACAATTTTTTTTTAATATGTGTTATTGCAGCACATTTGTATACTGATAAAGTTTCAGTAGAAAGGTGGAAATTGATAATTCACAAGTGAAAGGTTTGGCTTTTAATAGGAGCATGGTCAGTTCAATTTGTCGATGTGATTCTCAACCTTAGTTTCACAGTAGGGCACTTTAAAAAATCCTGATGCTTGGCTTGGCATTATTCTTTTTAAAAGCTTCCCTGTTGCATCTCATGTGTAACCTGGGGTGGGGTGGAGGGATGACAGTATATGAGTACAGGTGGAGAGGTTCTCTTGGTTCTTCTATTTGTTTCAATAAGAAGTAACATGATCAGCTGAAAGTTAGGAGAAAGGAACAATGCTAGAGGTTTAGAAGAGGATGTGATTTGCCTTGGAAAGTGGGAGAGGGAGTTCAACAGGGAAATGTAAGTCGACCAGACCATATTTAGGACTCACTTTGAAGTTTGTGGTTATATATTTAAGTGTGACCCATCATGTTTTCTTTCAGCTGCTTGGGTGCAGGTATAAGTAAGCAAGAGTTGCATTTCCCAGGGTTGAGGTATCTCCAGAGAGGGCAAGGGGTTTGAAGGGCTATGCAAGGGTATGATTATAATGAAGAACTATGGAATCTAAGCCAGGTAAGGAAGTGAGGACATGGGTTGAGGGGTGATGGTCAAAGAAAAGGGAGTCGGATCAGTGGATGATATGCCCTGCTGAAAGAATTGTGGGATTTGGAAAGAAAAGAGAGTGGGATTTTGGAGAAGAAACAGTTAAAATAGATTCTAGGATATGACCATGGAAGTGGTGGCTGAGGTGGGATAGAGTACAAGATCATTGGAAATGAGGAAGTCAGAGTATTGAGAGAGCAGGAGTTGGGAAAGGTCTATCAATGGGATGCTGAAATCACCAAGGTTCAGAACGTGATATGGGAGTAGTGCTTAGAGAGCGACATGAACATGAAGAAGACTGGTCTGTGGATGGCAGATATTGCAGTCTGATAGCATGAACTTCAGAGGAGCTGAGCCTTGTAGGAAGGAGGTAGCGGACAATGATACAGAAGCAACAAGGAGAGTGAAGGGGATACCTACCCCACCTCTCAGCTCAGTGGTGTGAGTGGGCAAGTTAACTATTCCCTGAGAGGGCTACTGAGGAGGTGATGTTCTGTGTAGAGATCTGATTTAGTTGGAGTGAAGGATTCTTCGGCAGGTACCTTTGTGCTCAGGGATCACCTTCAGGGTTGGGAAAGGATAGGAGGGGTTGGATTAGGGAATATATAGAGCTATAAATGGATGAGAGGAGCCTGGGTGGTGCAAGCAGTTTGTGATCGGTAGCCAACCCAAAAGTTGGTGGTTCGAATCCACCCACCTGCTCTGCAGAAGAAAAGCGTGGCAAACTGCTTCTGTAAAGATTACAGCCAAGAAAACCCTATGGAGCAGTTCTCTGTAACGCATGAGGTCGCCATGAGTCGCGGGCCAACTTGATGGCAGCTAACGACAGCATAAAAGGGTGAGAGTTTCCAGGATGAGAAAATCTTGCAGGAGTTCTGGGCTTTGAGGTGCTTGAGGTAAACACGCAAAAAGGTCAGTGTTTCTCATGAGTTCTGATGTTAGCTACTTCTTTGACGTAAAGGTTCAACATTAAAAGACTAGCTAAAGAAATTCAGGAATAGCTCTAATATGAAATATATAACAATTACAAGTTGTGTTTTTGAAGAATATTTAATGAGTTGGGGAAAAATCATGGTACAGTGCTTAAAATGGGAGAAGAAAAGGCTATAAAGCTCCATACATCTGATTCCAATTTTTTTTAAGTGTATGATTCGATACACTAAAAAATAGTGCTATTTCTAGGAGTTTTTTTTCTTATACTTCTATATGCTTTCTGCAGTAGAGATGTATGATATTTATAACCCCTCAAAGGAGTGATACCAAATTTCAGAATAGCAAAATAATGCTGTGGACATACTTGAGCATAATCTTTGTCTATGTTTCAGAATAATTTCTTCTGTTAATTTCCTAGAAAAGAAATTACTGTGTCAAAGGTATAAATATCTTTATGGTTCTTGATATACACTCTCCAGTCTGAATTCAAATCTGACAAAACTCAGTTTCTTTTCCTACAGAACAAAGGTCTTCTCCAGGGTACTATATTTGAGACACTGTGCAAATGATTTGATCCTAAGCAGTAAGGTTATTTGTTCATAGAACTGTAACTGGATTATAGATAAAAATCTCACCCCTCATTCCATAGGGAACAGGGTGCTTTTTGATTTGTATTTAATGTGCTATTTATATGTGCTCCTTTCTCTTTAGTGTCTAATATGTTGTTTATAAGTGCTCCTTTCTCTTTAGAAATCTCCATCCATATTGGAATTTTACCAAGAACTTGGATTACCACCAAAACAGAAAATCAAAATCTTTCATGTGACAGATAACGCTGTAATTAAGCCAGGTAATCTGAGGTCATGGAGAGGAGGGAGGTAAAAATACCCAAATATTTGATTTGTTTAATGTCAGCCCTTTTCTATAAAGCTGAATCCAAAATACAAGGACCCAAACATTTATTTTTAAATATAAAACTGTGTCTGATTTAATCACTAGGGATAAACAAGTCTTTCTCTTTTTTAAGAGAAGAAAACTGGAGAGAACACTTTGTTTTCCGTGAGAGAGGAAGGAGTACTTTTGTTTGTAGTGTGGAGAGAATTTTGCATCTGGAAAAGCTATTCCAAATAAATACATTAACTTTTAAAATGCAAGGTACACTATTTGCAGGCTGGTATTCTGTTAAGTAAAGAATAATTAGACTCTAGCTTAGGTAGAAAAACTTGAGAACATATAGCCTGCAATAGGAGAATGACTGACCACAGTAACTCAATGTAAAGATTCTTACTTAAAAATTCCCAAACACTTTACCTAATCCATAGGATGTCAAAAAGTAAAATTTGTCTTATGATTATGTTAGTTCAAATAGTTAACAAAATGCATCATTTTGATGTCTTTGAACTTCAAAAAAGCTCCCTGATCTCTTGAACTTGAGTTCAGGAAAAAGTCAGTAGAAGGATGTTTTAAGATTTGCTGTTTAAAAATCTGAACTGAATTTCTTGAAGTAAATTGCAGTAGGCCTTACTAATTGATGCGACAGAGGGTCAACTTTGATATAAACTAGAATTAAAAGTATTTTTTTGAAGTGCAAGTTTTGTAACTTTAAGGTAAAGTAAATGGAATTAAACTAAAGGGTAAAAATTTGTAGAAGTCCAGGGATCATTATATATTAGAGTGATTTATTATGGGCATATTCGACGTTAAATATAAAGGGATATTTCTAAAATATTTGGTTGTATAGAAAGTTCGTTCTGAAGCAGTTTCTTCTTGGTATTGTTATCATAGCTAACTTTCTTAAACCCGTTATTCATGTTTAGGATAAAAGTAAAAATTGAGTCAACGTTAACTTTTGCTGTCAGTCAAATCATATGAAATTGTTCTTTTTGTGGATCCAGAATGGTCAAGTATCCACAGTTTTGGGTTGTTCTGCCTCAGAAATGAGGCTACCCTATTTTTTCTGATTGAGAGTTTTTCTCTGCCCATACAAATCCAGGTTTGGTCCTGCCTTAAAGGAGTCTACCTGCTGAAATCCTATAGTGCTGTACTGCCTGTATTAAACAGAGAAAAATTCTAGCTCTCAATTACATTCTCTCCTATGTTGGTTCCTGGTTTTTTTTTTTTTTTTTTTTCAAGAATTGCTTATTTGATGATATTATGGTTGATTCTTCATTTAGATAATAAATTTCTTGAGGTCAGTGCCATGTCTTATACTTTGTATTCCTAACTATATATATTGTAAGTGCCCTAGAAATGTTTGTTGATTAATTGCCAAATTAAATTGTTCTCATAAATGTTAATTCCAAATTTATATGAACAAAATATCGTGAAGGACTTTGATTTATCACAAATTTTTTTTTTTTATGTTTCCCAAGTTCACTTAAAGTAATATTTGACTTGTGTGAAACTTAATTTTGGGAACGTTACTATATAAAAAATAAAGGGTATCTATAGTGGTAGTTTTTTGCTATTTCAGTTATCTGGGCACATGCTGGGCTGACTATTTTATTGGAAGAATAACCAGTCTACCAAAACTCTGATACGTATGGGCTTTACATGCATATCATACATACCATAATCATTTCCCCGTGTATGAGGGATCAGAGCTGAAATAATTAAATCCCCTGCTTCTGGATAACTTAATCTCCAATGGATGAAAAAAGATCTTACTCAGCCCCGACACTTTTGGAGTCATTCTCTTATTTTTGTTTTCTTTATCTGAGATAGTAAATTTATCTTAATTCAGTTTATTATTATTCACAAAATGACCGAGAAGCATCAAACCAGGGCATTTGCCAGCAAGACCACTGTGCTGTCACAGGAATTGCCCATTTCAACCAGCACTACTCTGGCCCCCAGCCCATCACTCAGCTGTGGTCTGTGGCTCATTTCAGCACCAGGTGCCGAATACTAGGGCACTTCAGCCCACACATAGACAATTAAAAAACATGTTTGCTGAATAACTTATTTGAATGTGTCTAATATTTATACTTGCAGACATGAATCTCCTACCATTTTTGAAATCTGATAGCTGGAAGACTTCCTGGGTGTAGTTTATGTTTAATAAAGCTGTTTCTGAGCTGACAGATTTCATGTGGTTTTTTCTTTTTCATCAGGCACTCCTCTTTATGCTGCCCATTTTCGCCCAGGACAGTATGTGGATGTCACAGCCAAAACGTAGGTCCGCACAGCGGGTTCTTTTTATGTTTGTTTTCTTCATATATTAATAAATAATATATTAATATATAATATTATATATATATTATAATTATATATTATTATATGTATTATATTATTATAATTATATCTATATTATATATAATATATTAATAAATAACTGAGTTAATCTTTAATGTTACTGTCTATACTGGTTTTAAAATTTTACTGAATTAGTTGTATGTGAAGAGTTCCTATCAGGTTATAGCTTTTAAACTGAGATGTATGCTTCTTGAAAACAGAGCTAAGAGATAGGTCACATTACTCAGGTTCTTTGTGGCCTGGGCCCACTTCTGTTTTGAAGACCAAAGGTTACATATTGATGGTGAAATATACATAAGCAATGCTGATAGAATTCTTTTTGAAATTATTGTGTAGTCTAGTAATTGGCTCTCCTTTCCAGCTCTAGGAAACAGCTAAAGTAGAAAACATTTTATACTGTTTGTGGCAGTGGTCATTGCCTTTAAGGTTCCCAAAATAACCATAAAACATTTTGTATCTGTGTTAAAAGCCTGTCAAAAGCTGGTTAGAAGAAATAGTGTCATATTGTAGACCCTTTGATAGCATGACATTATCCCTCAATACTAGATAAATGAGATTTCTTCTGTAAAAGCAGAATTTAAAAAAAAAAAAAATTTTTTTTTTCTTTTTTTATGCTTTAACAAGGGTTAAGTTTGATAGAAATCAACATTTAATTACCACTAACAAATGCTGATTTGGGGTCATATTTTAGACTGGGCCATGGTATTTTTGGTACTATAGTTTTTTCATATTGTAGTCTCTGAATCGAATGGCTTAGGATAATTCAGTACTGGCTAGATGATCTGCAGAAAACATTTAGATATTAGGAGAAGCAGTTTTTCAAAAATTAGTTGAGGTTACTTCACTGTGGAATGAGTCAACCAAGCCCTTATGTATGTTTATATAGAAAGTGTTCCATATAAGCTATTGGAATCCGCATGACCTAGACTAAACGAAACTCCAAATATCAGCTCGTATCCATCCTGTTTCTTGTTCTCTCAATTTAGATGATCATTTCAATTCGTTTTGTGCCTCAATTTTCTTTTTGGGGTCACATGACAATGTCTGCAGCCTACGTTCCAGGGATATTCTGATTAGGAGCCCTTTGTAAATGAACAGTGATCCACAGGTGCTCTGATGAGTCTCATGATCATGGTGACTGAGCCAGAGCAGCTTTTATCCAAGGGAACCAGATGAGTGCCAGCATCAGTTTCCTTAACACAGTCTAATGCATTCCTCATTTCCACACTGTTATCACCTAGTTTTGAGTATGGGCTATTGCAAGCAGCTGCAGTGTGCCTTTGCCTTTGTAAAGCTATTTAGAAATGGAGTGTGATAGTTCGGAAGTAGAGTGGTTCCCCTTTTTAGGGACATTATGAATTGCTCCCTCCTTTTTTTCTGCTTCCTGGTTGTTGGAGACTTGTCCCTAGTTACTGGAGTCCCTAAAATAACTGGTGTCTTGGTAACTGTTTATTCTGTGTTCCTTTATCAAAACCTCAAAGTATTGAAGCTGTAAACCTTTGATTTGGTTAGTTGGGAAGGTGTGTGTGTTGTGAATCAGATTGTTTTACTTTTTAGTATCTGAATTAATATTATATATAATATACCTTGCAGTAATTCTTTTAACGTATACACAGTTAATGGTGTGTGAATTCCATTGCATGTTTTACAGGCTATATGGGATGTTCTGAAGAGCCATCCAAAGTCAGAGGGCTTTGTGGCAGAGGCCCTTGGGGCTAGATTTGTGATTAGCTTGGATTAAAGCTTTGTTTTTCAAATGCCGTGTGCTCTGAATGCTTTCATCTTGTATTCCTGCTGTTGGATTCCTTGGCTTCTTAAAAGTTATTTTTAAAAACTTTAGCCTTCTGCTTATGAGTATAAAATGAAAAAGTAATTCTCTTTTTTTAAGGTGGGGTTCCCTAGAAAACAAGATTGTGTAAAGCCATGTGCCAGCGTCAGGACTAGATAGCTGATAAGAGTGGGGAGAATAACTGGCCTCTTCTCTTTGCAGCTGCCTTTCCTGGGTTGTGGGGAATGTGTGTGCATACATGTGTACATGCATTTGCTTGTTTTTCCTTTTTCGTTTTCAGCTCTTCTTTTATCTCCTTTCCTTGATGCTTCTTTTTTAGACAGTTCCCCATAGTTGGAGTTTAAGTCCTTCACAGGCAATGAAAATGTTCTTTTCCTTATTGACTGTAAGTCCCCTCAGTACCTTGCCCTTTATTTCCAGCCCCTATTTTAAAAACTTGAAACTTGTGAGCTCCATCTTCTTTTTCATCATTAATCCTGTTCCAGGTGCAAACACTAGAGAAAAAAAATTGTGCAGTGATATGGTTCATGGGATGATGAGCGGCTGGAGCAGCAGTTTTCACATTTGAGCGTGTTTCAGAATCTCCTGGAGGGCTTGTAAACACAGATTGCAGGGCCCCACCCACAGAGTTTCTGATTCAGTAGATCTGGGATTGATGTTGTGTGCCCTTGAGCCAACTCTTAACGGTCCTGTAGGACAGAGCAGAAATCATTATGGGAGCAGATCACCGGCTCTTTTCTCCTGGGGATTGGCTGGCAGGTTTAACTGCTGAACCGCCGACCTTTAGGTTAGCAGCTGAGCTCTTAACCATTGTGCCACCAGGGCTCCAGATCTGGTGTAACCAAAAAAAACAAAGAAACACATTACCGTTGAGTCGATTCCAACTCATCATGACCCTATAGGACAGTAGAACTGCCCCATAGGGTTTCCAAGGCTGTAAATCTTTACTGAAGCATACTGCCACATCTTTTTCCCCCGGAGCGGTTGGTGGGTTTGAACCATTGATTTTTCCATTAGCAACCGAGCACTGAATCACTGAGCTGCCGGGTCTCCCAGATCTGGGTAGTGCCTGAGAATTTGCACTACTGACAAGTTCCCAGGTTATGTTGATGCTGCTCACCCAGGGACCACACTTTGATAACCACCCATCTGGAGACTAGTCAAGAGCTCACCAGAGTTGAACTACTTTATTCCCCCATTCCTTTTCCCAGCACAGAATTCTAGTGCCTTCCTTTCCTTAACTCCAATGAAGTGCCAACATAAACGTCTGTGTTGAAGCAAGTTTAATTAATCCAGTTTCAAATAACATTGTCAATAAAAGTGGGCCTATTTATTTTACTCCCATTTGGCTACCATAAAACTGAAGATTGGTCTCTTTAGTAATTTGCTTCGTCATCTCATTTCCATGAGAAAAAAATCTCAAATCTCTGATTTAAAATCTCAATTTTGTTCATGTTGTAATAATTGTAATTGTTAATATACACTTACATTTGAGTATTTCAAATTTTTATGCCTTATACTTTCCATTTTAATTACTGGGTTAAATGTATTTTAGAAATAGCTATTTAAATAAATATGAAAATGAGAAAAAGAAAAAATACTGTGTAATTTAAGAAAATAGAGTATAAAAGAATCTTTCTACCTTAGGTTTGAAATTGAATAGAGTATAATATAATCTTTCTATCTTAGGTTTGAAATTGTATCAGCCTTTTTTTTTTTAAGTAATCAGTGACCAACAGCAACCTCTGGAAGACTTCCTTAAAATTTAAAAATGTTCTGGAGGTTCCGGCAAAATGGCGCTCTAGGCAGAAGCACCACGCCGTCCCTCCACAGCAAAGATCCAAAAAACTAAGCCTAACAGAGAATACAACAATCCTGAAACCCTAAAACATCACATGAAGAGATAAAGAACTCAGCCAAGCACCAAATGGAGTGAGAAAACTGACAGAGAACGGAGACCGAGGAGAGATTCATGCAGAGGCCCCCTACCAGCTAACGCAGCATGGATCCACCATCTTGGACTCCTGTCGGAGACCAGCAAACAAGGGGTACGAGAAAGCAGCCTCACGGAGCGTCCAGCGGGAGACAAAACAACCGGTAATTTGTGATATACGCTTTCCCACCCACCACACTTCTTCACCCTGACTCGGCCTCCTCTGCTTCCCACGGTCACAATCTCTTGACCTCTTGACCGGGAAACACTGGCTGCTTGGATTCCACACACCCAAGCGGGCGGCTCTCTGGGTGCCATTTGTTGGCTGCTACTGTTGCTTTTTTTTTTCTGCTTCTTTGATTTCTCACTTGCCTCTCGCCACCTCCCCCTCCTTTCACTCGAGTGCCTGGCTCCGTGCACCATCTTTGCTTCTTCCTGAGGGGCTGCAGAGCGCCGGCAATTTGTGATAAACACTTTCCCACTCTCCACCCTTCTTCACCCACACTCGGCCTCCTCTGCTTCCCGCGGACACAGTCTCTTGTCCAGAAACACCAGCCCGCAGTAGCTGGCTCTCTGAGTACCATTTGTTGGCTGCTGGTATTGCTTTTTTTTTTTTTCCCCTTGCTTCTTTTGATTTCTTGCTCACCTCTCGCCACCTCCCCCTCCTTTCGCTCGAGTGCCTGGCTCCGTGCGCCATCTTTGCTTCTTCATGAGGGGCTGCGGAGCTCCATTCGAGTGCGGAGCTGCTTCCCGGTCTGGGCTACTGCGCTGGTGGGATCCCAGGGCTTTTCTTCGTTTGTTCATTTT